GGCGGCACCTTCCGGGCAGAGATCTTGCGGAAGGTGCAGCAGAACAGTGCCGTCCATCTCGTTCGCGTCACAGTTCGAGGAAGGAGATTCAGCCAGACGGGGCAAGGACGAGGATGAATCCGTTCCAGGGTTTTCGGAAACGTTTTCAGAGCGTTCTGGAACGCTCTGAGAACGCCGCGGCGCCCAATACATCCCCCAGAGCCGCCTGACCTCAGAGGTTCTCGATTTATCTTCGCTCGAATTGATCTTCGTCCAGGCGTCCTCTTAAACAACATGAACATACATGTTCTAGGCTCCGCGCGGATTTCTTGGATCTGGATTGTGCCTCCCTGGCGGCGCCTCGGGCGCCATCCCTGGCGCGCTCCGCGCGCCATGGAGGGATGTCTGGCGCCGGTTCGAAGAATCCGCGCCGAACTCCAAAAGTATACGTTCATGCGGCTTCATGTTCTCCGAACAAGCGCCCTGTATGAGAGCGGTGGTCATGGTCAGCACGGGGTCACGCCGCCCTGTTGGGCCGCGGGTGCCGAGCGGGGTCACACAGCATACCCGCCAGCACGAGTGCGTGACAGCCGCAAGTAGCTCGGGGGCGGCCAAGAGAGGGGGTGATGACTGGGCGGGCGGTGGATACCATTGCGGGGGCCAAGATATCTCCCCAGATTTCGTGGCGCCGCTTCTTAGTTCAATACGTCCGCGGCCCCCACCCTGGGCCACGCACCCGCCGGCCATGAGTTGCGCCCCCCCCCTCTTGGACGCCCCCCTCTTGACCGTCCCCGAGTAGCAAGGCTACAGAGTGGACGCGGCCATATCTTCAGCCATGCCCCATGGGTCTGGACCTCGAGGCGCGACCCCGTGGGAGTCGCGACCTCGTGGCGAGGCGTTCTGCGCGGGGGGCGTCCGCGCAGCGCCGCCCCGTATCCGTGGCGTCTCGCAGCCGAGGAGTCCGGGCCGTTGGGCCGTGGGTGTGGATGCGTTTCCCGCGGGCGAAGCTCCCTCCGGGCTCAACGGAGAACCTCGAAGAACCACAACCACAAGAAAGTGGATTTCCCGGAAGGGCCCCGCGGGGCAGAACCCACCAGCCTCGACACGAGCACATTGGTTGCGGTTGTGGTGCCTTGACCGTCCTGGGGCGCCACATCGACCACAACCAGAACGAAGCTGGCAGCCTCCACTGTAAACTCACGCCGAAGTCGCCACGGCACGAACCCAACCCTCGGGGTCGTTGGCGCGCCCTGCGTGTCATCTCGAGAAGGGCGGCGGTGTGGCGAAGAGCCTGTTGGCCCCGTGCACTCTCCCGAGTGCCCACGTCGCGTGGGAGCGGCTCGGTGACGCTTGAGGCTTGGGCTTCGCAGTGCCCGAGTGGGCCGCCAGACAGGGCTCAATTAGTCGCCGCGCCTGCGCTGCTGCCTGGGATCACTCTTGACGCTTCGCTCAGAGGAGGGCCAGTTTTAAGTCAGGCATGTCCCCGTTCAGGAGGAGTATTTTAAGACAGGTCACAACATAGTCTGGGGACGATGTCCCACTATGTGTATATATTTTTGAGTGTGTACTTTTATCTAGAACAGAAGAAGCAATTAACCTGGCTCGATGCACAAAGACTTCGCTGGAGAGCGTCGGACCAGGCTCGGCACACACTCACGTGATTTGAATCACACACGGGCAGTTAACAATGCATGCGGCGCGGAGCACGAGGGCGGGGATGGAGGCAGCAGGAGGAAGGATAATTCGAGGGACGACCAATAGCTCCAGCGCAGCGGGCGGCAATCCAAGCAGGGAGCGACTCGACTGCGCCGTGAGCTCACTATGCCCTGGCCGAATCGGGGGGCGAGTCACTATGCGGACGCAGCCACGGGAGCGAGGCACCCTGCGGACGCAGCCTTTGGGGCCTTCGGCGGAGCTCCGTATATGGGCCACGAAACGTGTGAGCGGCGCGCCGGAATTGCCCCGAGTCATCTTGCGGATGCAGCCACTGAAGCCTTCGGTGGAGCTCCCTATGGGGCCATGGAACGTGTAAGGAGTGTACCGACAGGGACCCGAGTCACCATGCGGACGCAGCGAGTGGGGCCTTCGGTGGAGCTCCTTGCGGGGCCCACGGAACGATTGAGGGGTGCGTCGAAATGAAGCGAGTCACCATGCGGACGCAGCCACTGAGGCCTTCGGCGGAGTTCCCTGTGGGGCCAGGAAACGTGTGAGGTGTGCGCCGAAATGGGGCGAGTCACCACGCGGACGCAGCCAGTTGGTCCTTCGGCGAAGCTCATTATGGGGCCAACGAGTGAGGGGTGCGCCGACATGAAGCGAGCCACCATGCGGTCGGAGCCAGTGGGGCCTTCGGCGGAGCTCCTGGTGGGGCCCACGAAGCGTGTGAGTGGCTCGCCAGCATGGACCCCAACACCTTGCGGACGTGGCCAGTGGGGCCTTGGGCGGAGCTCCCAATGGGGCCAGGAAACATTTGAGAGGTACTCCGAAAGCTTGATGATGATGATGGTGATGATGCTGATACTGATGCTGATACCGATGTTGGTGATGATGTTGCTGCTGCTGCTGATAATGATGTTGATTGTGATGATCATCATGGTGATGATGATGGTGATGATGATGCTGATGATGCTGATGATGCTGATGCTGCTGATGCTGCTGATGATGTTGATGATGCTGCTGCTGATGATAATGATGATACTGGTAATGATGCTGATGCTGATGATGTTGATGATGATGGTGGTGATGATGATGATGATGATGATGATGGTGATATTGATGCTGATGATGGTGGTGCTGCTGATGGGGATGATGATGAAGATGATGCGGATGATGAGGATGAGGATGAGGATGATGTTGGTGGGAGTGATGATGGTGGCCGTTTCCCTTCCAACATGATGATGATGTTGATGATTGCAGTCGTAGTTATGATGCTGCGAATGGTGATGATGATGTTTACGAGGATGATGCCGATGATGATGGTTATGATGATGATGATGCTGACAATAACGATGACGATGGCGATGGTGGTTGCGATGATGATGCTGGCAATGATGAAGACGGAGCGAGGAAGGAGAGGGAGGAGGACGGAGTAGCAGACAGCACGCGCGGCGCTGCGAATTCAAGAGGAGACCAAACACACATACACGAGGCACGGGAACTATTTCTCGGGGGTGGACAGACCTCCTACCCTGACACGTCGATTAGTGAATTGTCCGTTGTCGGTTCTCCAGAGGGCGCCGCGGCCGTCATTTTCCAGGCTTGCGCCCGCCAGGTTTTGGCCCGAGGTCGTTTTCACTAAACCACGTTTTACTGAAGGGGGGTCTGTCCATCCCCGAATTTCGCCCGTCCCGTTCTTTCGCATTCTTCGCCCAGTTAGCGCTGCTGATGCTTGCCTGCGCTGTTGCCCGTCTCGGCCCTGGCGTCGACTCCGCCTGCGGCCCGCCGTTCTGCTCGCACCGCGGGTTGCGCCATGGAGAGTGATTGTCAAGATGCTGAAATAAGGCGCTCCAAAGCGTTCCCAGGCGCTCCCAGGCGCTCCCAAGCGCTCCCAGGCGCAGGCGCCCCCGAGCGCTCCCAGGCGCTCCCAGGCGCTCCCAGACGCCTTCAGGCGCTTCCCAGGCGCTCCCAGGCGCGCCCACCAGGCGCTCCCAAGCGCTTCCAGGCGCCCCCAGGCGCTCCCAGGCGCTCCCCGGCGCTCCCAGGCGCTCCCAGGCGCTCCCACTCTCGGCTCATGCAGGGAATCTGGTTTTCGGGCCTTCCCTTTCTAGATTGGGGTCGGGGGACCTCTTCCAAACCGAGGCTCGCCGTGGCCACAAACGGCCCTTCGGTTCTTATTCACCGTCCCCTCTGGTAAAATAACGGTTGCACGCACGCCCAGTGGATTATTCTTGGGCCTAAGGGGAGGTTGACAGTGCACAAGTCACCATTGGGAGCCACCGGTGTTACGCATTATCATCACTCCCTGAGGCACAGGGGACAGACCTTTCATCCGCGGGTCTCCGTGTCGATATGTTCTTGTGGCGCGCAGGTGGCGGCAAGGGCGGCGGCGGCAAGGGCGCCAGGATCCGCTCAGGGGACCTATACACCATCGCCACCACGCTTGGTCAGGGCCCCAGGGTGGTGTACTTCTCCGTAGGCCCTCCTGGCTTCGGCCAGGGGGTCCACGGCAGGTTCGTGCCGCGTCGACGCGGCGGCAGCCCCAGCGCGGGCCCTCCAAGACTGAAACGCCGCCAGTGGCCCGGAATCGGCTGGTGTCGAGCGGCCTGCGACACTGGAGATCCTCGACCGACCGATCCGCGCGGCGCCAGGAACCGGCGCACCAGTCATCACGGCACGGACCAGCCGTACACCATGTATCAAGGGCATCAAAAACGCCCCTACCCTGGTTTACGAGGCGTTGTGCGCTGAAACTCCTGTGGGTTGAGAGGGTCATCCCTGCGTGATGTGCCGCGTCCTGGCGGCTCTAGGCTTTGGGGGTTCCCAGGAGGTTTACAGACCGCGCGCTTGTAACCCAGGGTAGGGTCGTTTTTTGATCCTTCAAATGTGAAGACAACGCGTAAGCATAATAAATGTCTGGAGCTCCGCGTGGGCTTCTGGAGCCGGACCTGCCCCCCCGTGCTGGAGCGCGGGAGCGCGCCAGCCAGGGGCAGCGCTGGAGGCGCCGCCTTGGGGGGACCCCGGCGCAGGTCCAAGAAATCCGCGCGCAGCTCCGAAAGGTTGTGTGTGTGTCTGTGTGTCTGTGAGTCTGTGAGTCTGTGTGTCTGTGAGTCTGTGAGTCTGTGTGTGTATGCAGTTCCTCATGTGCAGCCTGGGCCAAGGATGGCCCCTGCCAGGCCAGGGCTCGAGCTCTACGCGGTGTTTTGGCAATTTCGTGGACAGTTTTCGTTTTGACTTCGTTTTGCAGCAAATGTGGAACGAAGACAGAACTAGGGATGACGAAAACAAAACGAAAACGGAAAGCACTGTTTAACTCGAGCCTTGTGCCAGGCGTAGTGGTGGTGTGCGTGTGCCCTCCTGCGCGCCAGGACGCCGTGGAGCTTCTTCCACGTGTGCGATGCCGTGGACTCGCTGGGCATCCTGGCGCTGGCCCAGAAGATCCCAGACAGGCGGGCGGCCCTCAGCGTCCGCCCTCCTCGCCTCAGGCCTGCCAGAGGAGGGGGGACGGATCGAGGCTCGAGAATCGAGGGTCGAGGCTCTGGTGTGGGTTGGGATCTCCGGGGGCCCCCAAGGAGGAGGGGCGGCGCACGTGAGGCCCTCCCAGGGAGGGCCTCGCCCTCAGAGATCGGAAGCGTTGCCGTCCCTGCCTCGGCAGGGAGGGCAGCGGCAAGGCGGGGCGGAAGCCCGCGAAGGTGACGCGAGGCGGCCTCCGCCGGCAGGAGCTGGCGGAGGGCCAGCGGAAATTGGCGGAAGTAACGGGTGCGCCCCCGAGATCGACGACAACAGCGGGTATGCTTGCGCACTGTCATCGTCGTGCATCCTCGGGGCGCGGCGGGGAGCTCTGCAGAGGTCCCCGCCCGCCCCCCGGGGTGCCCCCCAGGGTGCCAGTGGCAAGCCACACCCCTCGGAGTCGCCGACAAGAGATGAACACGTTTTTGGGTTCAGGGTTTCCGGAATCCGCCATGTCGGTCGAAGCACCTCAGGCTGAAGAGTTGCGGTCGGCGTTTTTGGGGTTGCTCTCTGATGAGAGGAGTTGCCGTTTTATAGTGTTTGTTGAGGTGAAAGAGTTGCCCTCTAAGGAGAAATGGCAGCATGTTTGGGTTCAGGTATTCCAGAGCCCGCCATGCGTTGGGTGTGCAGGTGTTGGGATCTTTCTGGGCCTCCGGAGGAGGCGTATATTCTTTAGCTCACACAGGGTGTCGGTCTTCTACCACCCCCTGGATTACAATGTCCGGATCGGCACTGCAGGCCCCCTTGCATCGTCGCCCCCCGAGAAGTAAACATGACTGGCACGAAATACCAAGCAGAGTCGCAACTTCCAAGCAACATAACTGGATTCGGAAATTCATTTGCGAGGAAGTCCCAAGCGAAATCGCCAATTTCCGGTCGCCACTGAGAATTTCCGGTCGCCTGGAAAGCGTCCGGAAATTTTTGTGGAGGAAGTATTAGGGGGAATGCGGATTTCTGGTCGTCACCCCATTTGGCGATTATAATATTAGAGGGGGTGAAGATGAACCGGAAATTTAACCATGGCGGCCCCTGCAACATTGTACCGGGGCCCCGTGGCCTAACGGGAGCCGAACCTTAAGGCTTATTCCCCGACCTCTGCGGTCCGGACTTTTTATTCCAGGGGGGTGACCACCGCGAGAGCGCCACCGCTCGCGCATTTGCTAGGTGTCTGTACCTTCAGCACTCTGGGAGGCCCCTCGGCCTCCACTGGGATCCCGACCGCCTGTCTTGCCGCTCGGGCCGTGGCGTCGGTAATCCCGAGTTGCTGAAGGCCCCAGGGGGGGTCTTCGCGCGCCCTCGGCGGGTGCCTACTGGAAAAAAGAAAGCAAAATTAAACATTCGCACAACTGCGAAAGCGCGCAAGCGCGCTGTCTTTGGGGCAGCGACGCCAGTAAGAGCGACGCGGCCGGAACGTGATTCCATTTGACGCGATCTCACAACAACATGATCGCCCCACCCCCACTCCACTTTTTTCACGAATGATGGTCCGCAAGCGCTGACAGGGGAAACGTCTTACTCGAACGACGCATGTTGGCTTGGAAACGACATTTGTTGCAACCACCCCCTGGATTAAAATGTCCGGATCGGCACTGCAGGCCCCCTTGCATCGTCGGTCCCCGAGAAGTAAACATGACTGGCACGAAATACCAAGCAGAGTCGCAACTTCCAAGCAACATAACTGGATTCGGAAATTCATTTGCGAGGAAGTCCCAAGCGAAATCGCCAATTTCCGGTCGCCACTGAGAATTTCCGGTCGCCTGGAAAGCGTCCGGAAATTTTTGTGGAGGAAGTATTAGGGGGAATGCGGATTTCTGGTCGTCACCCCATTTGGCGATTATAATATTAGAGGGGGTGAAGATGAACCGGAAATTTAACCATGGCGGCCCCTGCAACATTGTACCGGGGCCCCGTGGCCTAACAGGAGCCGAACCTCAAGGCTTATTCCCCGACCTTTGCGGTCCGGACTTTTTATTCCAGGGGGTTGTAGTGCCTGTGGGCGTCGAGCTATTTGCTTCGCGTCTGCGTCGGGTTTGCTACACAGCTGGTCGTTCTCTGGAGTTTGGCTGCGTTGTTGGCGTCTCGCGCCGACACAGGCGTGGGCGACGCCGATGGTGGCGCCACGTCGTCGACGTCGGCGAGGTCGACGACGTCGACGATGACGTAGCCGTGTGCGGGAACGACGCGTCGTCGTCGTCCACGTCAGCGGCGGCTCTTCCAGCGAGCAAGATGGAAAGCGTCGAAACGCGCATCCCCATGACCTCAGTTTCCCCTCGTTGGCTCGTAACGGGCATCGCCAAGAGTGGCAACGCGGCGAATGGAAGCGTTCAGATACGCGAGAACACCTTCGGTTTCGAGTTATGTTGGACAGGCAGTTGTGGTGTCAGTTCGTTCGGATCTGCAGTTGTCTTCGCCGCACCTAATTTCCAACCCGTTTATTCACGCGCGTATTAGTTAAACCCTGTTGCATGTTTTCGCCATCGACCTATGGACGGGAACCAGACGCACATTATATTTCAGGCCCGAGGCAGAGCCCGCCCGCGTCAAGATTCTATGTGGGCGGGGGGCGCACTCCAATTGAACTGTCTTTCCGTCCTGGGCGAGCAAAGGGTCTTGGTGGCCCTGCGGTCGTCGCATCGTGGCACGGTGGCGGATGTGCAGTGCACGTCGCTTGCTTACCAGAAGTGAAGACGTACGATTGGCGTGCAGGATAAGAGACCAGCCTCTCACCCGGTGCCCCGCGAAGATGTCTGACTTCCCGGCGATCCCCAGGCTCCCCGCGGAGTTGATGGGCTCCCCGCGAAGTCCCCAAATCGGCTGAACAGTGCGGCCAAAGCATGTTCGTATAGCTATGTTGCTTCACGTAGACACCCGCTGTAGCGTTATATCCAGAAGTGATGCACAATGCTCCAACTTCCTACTGATCCAGCCCTCTTTCGCAAGGGAGGAGTGCTGATTCCCGCCCCCAGAGCGGGCACAGCTCCGAATCAGGTGCGCACCATCTAAGCGCAAAGATGCCATAGTATATGCACGTCTTGGCCTCCGTCTCATCACCACGCATTCTCGGGAAGTGCGGCTATTCAAAATCCCAGTGTGTTTTCGGGTTCGTTTGTGTTGGGCCAGTTCGGCGATCGGATTGCCAGGCGCACACTCGCCCTCGTCGCGGAAGCATCGTACAATCCCGCCCGCTTATTGGGCGCCGATGGCTTAGTAAGCCAGATCCTCCTGTCTTTGTCCGTCTCGGGGAGATGCTCATGTTTCCCTTACGGTTTCTCTTCGAGCCTGGAGGGGGCAGGGGGGCGAGGGGTTCGAGCATCCAAGATTACCCAAGAGGGCCCCATGCTGGCCAAGACGGCTCCCAACACCGCACATCATGGCGCAGGGTGGCTCGGTATGCCCCCCGGCATGCCTCCCTGCAGGCTTCAGGGCGTCTGCACGTGGCCACGGCACTTCCCAAGGATCCCCCCCCCGCGAGAGGCCAGGATCTCTCCGGCCCCCCGGTGAGCAAGAGTGCCCGCTGCCCTCTCTCGTTTCCGCTGCCGGCGGCCTTCCGAAGCCTCGGGACGGCTCCGCGAGAGTTAAGTCGGGCCTGTCCCCCTACAGAGGGATTTTCGATAAAAAATAAAGATTACGTACCCCAAAAATAGCGAAAGCATCGTCCAAAGATAGCCTGGGGACTATTGTTGGAGTATTGTTTGACCTTTTGGAGGGCTTTTTGGAGTATCTTTGATTTTTCGTCGAAGATCCTCTTTGTAGGGGAGCCCCAGAGCGGGGGCCCGAGAGGGCCCCCGAGAGAGGCCCCGAGAGCCCGCGGGCGGCGGCGCGCGCGGCGGCGCCGCCGTGGGCGGCGCGCGGGCGGCGTGGCTGGCCTCGGGGACCCCACTGGGATGGCCGCGGGGGGCGCCAAGGGGGTATGGCGTCAAGTCGGACCTCTCTTTCCCTCTGCAGGAGAGGCCAGGATCTCTCCGGCCCCCAGGGGAGCAAGAGTGCCCGCTGCCCTCTCCCGTCTCCGCTGCCGGCGGCCTTCCGAGGCCTCGGGATGGCTCCGCGAGAGCCCCAACATGGGGCCCGAGACGGCCCCCGGAGAGAGACCCAAAGAGCCCGCGGGCGGCGCGCGCGCGCGGCGGCGCCGTGGGCGGCGCGCGGGCGGCGTGGCGGGCCTCGGGGACCCCACGGGAATGGCCGCGGGGGGCGCCAAGGGGGTATGGTGTCAAGTCGGGCGTGTCCCCCTACAGGGGGAATGTGCTAAAATTTAGTTTTCAGGACATCGTCTGGGGACGTTGTTCGTCTATGTTTGACGCGGGACTGTGTTCCAATCTAGTTTTCAAGACGTAAGTAGTCTGGGGACGTTGCTTGTCTATGTTTGACGCGGGGCTGTGTCAAGTCGGGCGTGTCCCCCTACAGGGGGGTTTTCGACGAACATAACAAATACCCCAAAGGTACCCCCAAAAGGCCAACAAAGATACTTAAACGATAGTCCCCAGACTATGTTTGGACTAGTGTTTGAATATTTGTGGGGTATTAAAAGATTTTTCGTCGAAAATCCCCCTGTAGGGGGACAGGCCCGACTTAAGTATAGTGTCAAGTCGGACCTTTCTTTCCCTCTACACGAGGAGTGTGCTCAGATATAGTTTTCAAGGCATCATCTAGGGACGTGATTCGTCTACGTTTGACGTGATTTGCATGTTTTGGCTACTTTATCCGTCGTCAAAAAAATCCGCCTGAAGGAGGATATGTCCGACCCAAATACATTGGGGGCGCGCATCAAGAAACCATCTGCTTTTCGTCAGGGTATCCTGGGTTCCTTCGCTTCGCGAGGTGCGCGTGTGACTTTCCGCAGCCGCTGAAGAAGCTGCTGTGTTCAGGGTGCTGTGGTCTTCCGCTCAAGTGCACCACGCGCGCGGGTTTTCAGGGTTGGGTTTCTTGCGAAGGGTTCTTGCGGCCGCGCCCGCACTGTATGGGGGGTCTAAGCGGATGCCAAGGTGGTTATATGTGGTCTATGTCACAAGCTGTGAGCGGAGCCCACTGCGGAGTTATCTGACCCCCTCTTAAGCCATGTCGGGCTTTTGTTGTAGCAGCTTATGAACCAGGTTGGAACAGATATGACCACCTCAGCATCTGCTAACAAGCCCACGATCGCCTTAGCAACCCCGCAGTCTTCCCAGCAGGAAGCCCGCGAGAGCATGACACATGGCATGCCGATTCAGAGCTTGGTTTTAGGCCTCCCGACCAGGCACCGAGGAGATGGGGTCCGGGGATGGCGCCCATGCATCGCCGATGTGGCGCGGTGTGGGGCCTGATTTTGCTTCACGCTGGCGTCGCCGATGCACAGCCGACGTCGCTGATGCATCGCCGGGGCATCGTAGATGCATCGGCGATGCCGTGCGATCCTCGGACCCTTTCGAGGAGGCCTCACTCACCGTGGGAGTAGGAGTTGCATGCTGCGTTGACGGGAGAAGTCTGCGAGCCTCGATCGATGTGGTGTGTTCCATGTTGCTTGCCAGTTCCTGAGGAGGAGCGAGGCGGGTTGGCCAGATGTGTCTGCAATGCTCGGCGGTTGGAGGCGACGCTCGCTCCCATGATGATTCCGATCGCATTTTATGTTCTGGAGCCTCCTGGGGGCGTCTCGCTGCCTGTACGGGATCTCCTCCGACTCAGCCACCAGAAGGCGTTATCGGATGAGCATGCTTTTGCTGAGCCTCCTCACCACGCCCTGGCGGGAGGTGGGATGAGTTTCGAGGACCGAGGGCGCGCGACTTGGGGAGTGGCGTTTCTTCGCCTTTCTTGAGCCTCCTGGGGGGCTCCACATCAACACTCTGGCTTCTCGCTGGCACGGCTGCGTTCCCCTCGACAATTGGCAAGAACGCACCACGGGTCCGGAGGGTTATCTAGACCTTGCTTCCGAATCCAAACCGTCACGTTGCGATGAGAACGCGAAGGGGAGGAGGAGGAGGAGGAGGAGGAGGAGGAGGAGGAGGAGGAGGAGGAGAGGAGGAGGAGGAGGAGGAGGAGGGGGAGAGGAGGAGGAGGAGGAGGGAGGAGGAGGAGGAGGACGAGGCGGAGGAGGAGGAGAAGGAGGAGGAGGAGGAGGAGGTGGTGGAGGAGAAGGCGGAGAAGAAGGAGGAGGAGGAGGAGGAGGAGGAGGAGGAGCTGTTTTTTGCAAGGTCTTGGCCTCTGGAGGCTCGTTGTGGGCCCTGGGACAGTCAGAACAGCACGCAGGGCGAAACCGATGCCGCGGGGGAGGGGTGGACGGCTCCGCAGGGCACGGCGCGAACGCATCGTCTCGTCGGGTGTGTGGGTCCTCCGGCCCTCCCCCCCCGTCTTCTCCTCCTTCTCCCGTCCTCGCTCTCTTCATCTCTCCACCCCCGCCTATTCACCAGCAGTATAGTCATCGCCATTCGTCAACATTATAGTCTTCTCCTTCTCCTGTCCTCGCTCTCTTCATCTCTCCACCCTGTAGTCATCTCTGTCCACCAGCAGTATAGCCATCGCTAGTCGTCAACATCGCCACCGATCACCGCTGTCAGTGTCAGGTGGCCCTTCTCACCGCCCCTCTTCATACTCGTGCTCCCCCTCAACAGCAGCATCATAAGCATGATTCATACATGATCGTGATCCTCCTCTTGTGCTCGTCCCCCGCGCTTGCGCGCTTTCAGGCACACGGGAACGTGCGCGGGGGAGGGCAGGAGTTCGTAAGGAGGAGGAGGAGGAGGAGGAGGAGGAGGAGGAGGAGGAGGAGGAGGAGGAGGAGGGAGGCAGGACGAGAATTGGAGGATGAGGAGGGGGAGCGTGGAGCGGGGGAGGGAGGACGACGAGAGGAGGAGGAGGAGGAGGAGGAGGAGGAGGAGGAGGAGGAGGAGGAGGAGCAGGAGGGAGGAGGAGGAGAAGGAGGAGGAGGAGGAGGGGGGGAAGGAGGGGGAGGAGGAGGAGGAGGAGGAGGATGAGGGGGAGGAGAAGGAGGAGGCGGAGGAGCAGGAGGAGCCAGAGGGGGCGAGGCGAGGAGGCCAGGCCAGGCGAGTGACCGCCCGCGCGCCAGGTGGGTGGACTGGAGCCACGGCGGCAGGCGCAAGCCCGAGCGGATGCACAGCACGATGCTCCTGAACATGTCCGGCCCGCAGCACCTCCCGAGGCTGAAGCGGGTGTGCCAGGAGCCGAACTGGCTCTGTTTCCGGCTCCTCGTCTCCCATCCTCCTCCTCCTCCTCCTCCACTCCTCATCCTCCTCCTCTTCTCCTCCTCCTCCTCCTCTCCTCCTCATCATCATCATATCCCCATCCCCCTCCTCCTCTCCTCCTCCCCTGCTCCCCCCTCCCCCTCCTCCTCCTCCTCCTCCCCTCCTCCTTCCTCCCCTCCTCCTCCTCCTCCTCCTCCTCCTCCACCCTCCTCCTCCTCCTCCTCCTCCTCTCCTCCTCCTCCTCCTCCTCCTCCTCCTCCTCCTCCCCCTCCCCTTCCCCCTCCTCCTCCTCGTCCTCCCTCGCCCCTCCCTCCCTCTCCTCCATTGGGCGTATGCCCGCCTGTGCGGCGCGCCCATACAGACGGATGACCCTCGGTGCTGGCGTGCGTCTGCGATGGAAGCAATCCTCCACCTCGTGCTTCTCCTCCTGTTCCTCCTCCTCCACTTGGATCAGCTTCATCTCCTTCATCTCCTTTCTCCTGCTGAAGTTGTTCGGCAGCAAGGCCCGCGGGGCGGGCGCGACGCGTGGGTGTGTGGAAGGGTCTCGCTTTGTTTCTAAGCGGGGCGCGTTCGGGCAACTTGGCCGCGCCTCTGGTTCTCGATACTTCGATACATCCTCCACTTGGACCGCTCCTCCGAGCTCCTGGCGGCCTACGTTGAGAGTCTCCAGGTGGAGTGCACGCACCGTACCGCCAAGATCGTTGATGAGAGGCCTCAGGCCCTTGATCGTGCATGTTGGAATGCTCCCATGGGCGAAGTCTTGGACTGGCACGCGCGCAGAGGAGTGAATGGGCATGCGCATGACATCGAGGTTCCTTCTGATCATGTGCCTCGTTTGTGCTCAGAGACGTCCTGGGTACAAAGCTGGTCCATAGGTTCCGCGCGGGCCCTCTGCACACGAACGGCATCCCATCCTGAGGCGCGAGATAACCCAGGAAGTGTGACTCTCTGAAGATCCTTTTATGAGACCATCAAAGACATCAAGGACATGCTGTACGCCGTGACAGGCATCGTAACGCAGCGACTTAATTGAAGTTCTTTCAAAACTGTTGCACAGAACCGTGCTGTGTACCTCAAGTTCATCCGTGCAGCTCGTAGCGGGCATCGCACACTTATTTTACACTGTATGACCCGTATCCTCATATCAAGGACTTCATTGTACGACGCGGACGGAATGATTTGGACGCAGTGTGCCATTTCATGAAGAATTCGCATATCTTCGTCGTGGTGAAGCTGCAGGGTCTGTCGCCGCCCCTTTTGGTCATTTGCCGAACGTGGAAGAGTTGCATGGACACTCGCTTGACGACTTGCCCGATGATCTGCTCGATGATGTCACTCCGCCGACCCTTGCAAGAGTGGCGACGCGACTTGTTGCCCTCTGTCGGCCAGCAATGGTGGTGGCAGCATCGCATTACTGTCCCTCTGCTGGAAGGGGGCCCTTCTGCTGGTGGGTGCCAGCCTGATCTGGAGGAAAAGGAAAACGGAAGTCAGTCAAGTTTGCCCGAGATCATATTACATCCCGAGGTAGCCCAACGTTGCGTTGTTCATGGTCTCCTCCTCGGCGGAACACGTTTCGGTATCATTTCTGAGACTTTGTTAGATTGGTGCCGATCGAAGTTGAGCACCATGCGTCTTATTACTGTTGCTTACCGAGGGCCGATCTATGATGCGCAACCACATAGTCACCCGCTGTCCGAAAAAAATCGAATGAGCTTCAGCATGTCGTTCACCCTGTTGCTTCTGGGATCGAGTGGTTTCCTGAGTGCGGGGTGTTTTGCTGGAGTGCTTGCCATGCTGCACGACTCTACACCTACGCCAGATTGGGCTCCGTACAGTGGGCGGAAGCATGGTGTTGACGAGGCTCATCGGATTCGGTACCGTGCCAAGTATGCCCTCTTGGACTTCCACAAGCCCCCGATGGGTTTCAATCGCGAAGCTGCCGTGATTCTGGCCAAGGCAGAAATAGAAAGCGATAGCTCGTCTGCCGTGGGTCCTACGCAGACAAGCGCGCCCACCACGAATACGATTGACAGCAAGGGATTCCCCGCCTGCTCTGGGATTATTGTAATGCAGCAGCCACAGTATGAGGTGTCTAGATATGCTGGAGGCTGCAGCATGGGATCCTGGATGCCTGTGTGGCGCGTTTCGCGTGGGCACCATGACGATGGGTCCCGTTTCCTCGACATCGTTGTTGTGTTCTTTTCTCTTCGGCACGAGTGGTTGGTCAATATGCTTGGTCTTGTGGGACATTCGAGTGGAAGCGTTCCCATTACGTGGCGCATTGTTATTCGGAGTTCGAGAATAACTTCAGAAATTCCTTGGGCAGGAAGCCTTCCGTGGAGTGAAGCAAGGATGTCCGCTTGCAGGGTTACCCCATGGTTTTTCCATGGGCCCCATACCCAGAGCTGTCGAGAGGAAGATTGGCACTCCTCCTGCAATTATTTGCTCTCTTGCCGCCGACACGGGGATTGCAGTTGCCAATTTCGTTATCTCGTTCCTTGTTATTCTCACTTGTGTGGCGCAGCAAGCACAAGTGACGCGGTGGTGCTTTAATTTCGAGACGTGCATGGTGGTAAGAAAGCGATGTTGGGGCATCCAAACGGCTTGGGATGAATGTGTTCAAGTTTCAGTGGCCGGCGTTCGGCATGTCTTTGGAGTGTTCTTGGGGCGTGGCGGGCGCGGTGCTTCGCGTGCCAGTCCGAGCGCAAAGCCGCCTGGTCGGGTTGGGTACATACGTTCTCTTCTCTTCGCCCACATCCACCAACCTGCATGCGCCCGGCATCTTTGCCGTCCCTATTCTGTCGCACGCGTGGAAGTTCTATCCCACCACATGTGTGGTGAGGCGCACCGAGCACACAGCCGCGCAGAGATTAGCCGCTTCCCCGAGACAAGCTATTCTTGGTTCCTTGCTGCACGTAATATGTTGCATTGCGGTTTATTTGGGACGCGGAATCTAGTGCGTGCAACCTCGGGCCGCTGTGATTCGTATTGCTGTTGTGTCTCGTGTGCTTGGGTGCGCCAGGGGGCGGTGCCGTCTCTGTTCCATAGGTGCGGGATGGGGATGTGTTGTTTTTGTTCCAGGTTCCCTGGCTGGTGGCAATCGTTGGTTACGTAAGATGACGCGCGAGGGAGATTATACCACACTTGCCCCCCATGTTTAAGACCCTGAAGAGACGGGCGTCCACATGAAAATGCACCAATTCCGAACGACCATGCGTGATGCCCCCTCCCTGCTCCGGATATTCTGAGGTATTTGTTGCCTGCCCCTCCCCCGGTCCGCGTCGGTGATCGCGTTTTCCTGGGGCTCCTCATTGCTGACGGTAGGGTTCCCCCATGCAATCGTGTAGTCATGGCGCTGGAACACTGTCCAGCTCGGGGTTCGGAAAGGGGTTCGGTGGTTCCTTGGGGCTGCTTGCATTCTCTTGCCATTTCGGGAGCGCCCCTCGGTCGTTTCTGGCAGAATGTCGGCTGAATTTTGAAAGCATGAATTTCGTTCCTTCTTTCAAGTTCCTGCTGGTTGCGCCTCGGGTGCAGCGCGTGTAACGAGGTTCAGGCAAGGCCATGGGATTTGCAGATGTATGTTGGCGGCGACCAGGTGGACCATGTCTTTCCTTGCCCTGCGTTGCTTCCCCACTTCCGTCTGTTGTTTGTTAGTTTCCTCTTCTTTCCTGTCGTCCTCTCGATTCACAGATGTTGCGTGCTGTTGCATTGCATGGCATGCGCCCAGAAGGGGTTTCAACATTCTCCTGTGTTGCACCTTTGTCTGTATGTATGCTGCTTGCAGCGAGATGCGTGCAAGAACGAAGTTCGGGCCCCTGGTGGTCCGCGAAGTTTTGGTTGTCTGGATTCGGGCCCTTGCCAGACGCCACCAACAAGCGCATGGTCTGCTGACTCGCTCCTGGGCTCGTAGACACGCTGATACATCTGACGTGTGCACTCCCCTTCCTCTCCTTCTCCTCCTCCTCCTCCATCTCCTTCTCCTCCTCCTCCTCCTCCTCCTCCTCCTCCTCCTCCTCATTATCATCATCCAGGAAGGCCTGGGATCGAGATAAATCGTTTCACAGAGTTCGGGAACGCTCTCACAGCGTTGTGGGACGCTGCGAGAAGGCTGCGGCGCCCGATGCATCTTTTCCGAACTGGCAGCTCTGGGAGCTTTCCGACTTGCCCCGGTCCAATGTTTGTCCCGATCTTGGCCTCGTCTCACTGATATTGTGTGTCTCGTCCCGGTCTTCACTCCTCTCTGCCCCTCTCCCCCAGGGCTCCGCCCAAAGTGCGGCCGCAGTTTTCTGCGCGCGGTCAGCGCGCATACCTCCTGGCGTCATGCAGTGTTCGCTCGGGCCGCTGGGTCCAGGCCCGCAGCCCACATGAGGCCAAAAAGTAGAGGAACGATGATACGATTTCTCGTCCTGATCTTCGCTTCTCTATTGCCTGTCTCCTGTCCCCCGAATCCAAGGCAGGGGTGTTGCTGGAGTTGCTGGGGTTGTTGGGGTTGGGGGGGTATGCCAAGGCAGGCGAACCAGAGACTCCCAAAGGGTGGGCAGGTCAACTCCGCCTCGTTTTTATTGTCGTCGTCGGAGCGGGTGGGTCGCGGCTGGGGTTGGCGGGTCGCGGGTGGGTCGCGGCGCGTGTAGGTCGCGGGCGGGTCGAAGCCCGGGCGCGTCGCGGTGCCGCTACCCACCCGCGCCGCTGCTCTCGTATCCGCACCTACGGTGGGACCAGGTGCACAATCCGGCCAGCAATGATTTGCTCATTTTCCACCATCATTACCATAGGTACAAGTGGGGGGGGAGGAGGAGGAGGAGGAGGAGGAGGAGGAGGAGGAGGAGGAGGAGGAGGAGGACCTCCCCCGTCCTACTTATCATGGTAGTGGTGGGTGGAACACCGGCCCAACAAGCACACGACCGACGGCCAAGGGGCACCTCGGCTCGGCGTCGCAGCCGATCTTGGCCCCGCGGCCGGGCGAGTTCCAAGCTCCCGGGGCGGAGCGCGGCCGATGCAACGCTTGAGAGAACGGCCGCGGCCCTCGCCGGGCGCAGCGCGGATGGCGCTGAGCCGATTTCAGAGCAGCGCAGAGGTTCGGTGATTTCGAGAGGAGGAGGAGGAGGAGGAGGAGGAGGAGGAGGAGGAGGAGGAGGAGGAGGAGGAGGAGGAGGAGGAGAGTATCGGAGACGAGGAGGACGAGGACGTGAACCCGCGGGCTCCAGGATCTCTCGACACCTTCTCCCAGGCAGCGTTTCCGTCCCAGGCCTGCCCTTCTGATGCGCCCCAGGGCCCCAGAGCGGCCCCTCTTGGAAGCGAGGAAAAGTCAGGCGGGCCCAGGATGAGGCCGACTAGCTCCATAGTGTTCCTGCTGCCTGCGTCCTGGAGAGAGCGCCAGGGATGCCGAAGACAGTCCGCTGGATCCCTGGGCTCTCCGCTGCCCTCGGGGAAAGGAGGCGGCGCCCGTCGCGGTGAGCGTGCGCGAGCTGTTCTGCTCCCGCGTGGAGCGCATCGCCGACGCCGAGGCCTCTCCGCGGGCCGCGCGATCTGGGGCACCCGCCGCGCCTTTGCGGGGGGGCCCGGCCTCGCGTGGCTCGAGGGAGGCACGCGACCGGCACGTCAACTTGTGGGGGTCCGAAGGGGGGCGGGGGGACTGCGGCGCAGAGGGGAGCAGAGATGTCGAGGTTCGAGGTGTCCGGACGTCTCCGCCGTTTCTCGCCGGCTTTCCAGCCTTCGGGTGCTCTCCAGCAGCTGCGCCTCGCCGAGAGCGCTCTGCAGTGGGGGTGCCCAGAACGCCCCGAACGGCCGCCGGAGAGCCGAGCTTTTTTGCCAACAGAAGCCGGCAGGCGCCCGAGAGGCTCTTTCAGGATGGAAAAAGACGCACAGACACAATTCATCCGCGTGTGTGTGTGTGTGTGTGTGTGTGTGTGTGTGTGTCTGTGTGTGTGTGTTATGTGTGTGTCTGTGTGAGTGTGTGTCTGTGTGTGTGTGTCTGTGTGTGTGTCTGTGTGTGTGTGTCTCTGTGTGTGTGCCTGTGTGTGTGTCTGTGTGTGTGTCTGTGTGTGTTGGTGCTTGTTTTTTAGTTTTCGTGTGTGTGTGTGTTTGTGGTGTGTGCGTGTGTGTGTGTGTCTGTCTGTGTGTGCGTGTGTTTGTGTTTGTGTATGTTTCTGCGTTTCTGTATGTGTGTGTGTGTTTGTGTGTTTGTGTGCGTGTGTGTGTGTGTGTGTGTGTGCGTGTGTGTGTGTGTATGTGTGTGCGTGTGGATTTTTTAGCCATGCGGTCGCCCCACATTGCCACACGCTGGAGCGGACCGCCTCTGCCTCGCCGCCGACGGAAACACGTGTTTGTGTGTTTGTGTTTGTGTTTGTGGTCGTGTGTTGTGTGCTGTGTGTGAGTGTGCTGTGTGTGTGTTTGTGTTTGTGTTTGTGGTTGTGTGTTGTGTGTTGTGTGCTGTGCGTGAGTGTGTGTGTGTGTGCTTGTGTTTGTGTTTGTGTGTGTGTGCGTTTTAGCGTGCTAGTGTCTGTGTGAGCGTGTGCGTAGAAGGTGTGTGTGTGTGTGCGCGCGCGACGGATAGCATGGCCACGACCACAACATCTCCCACACCATACGGACCTCTCTTCCCTCCGCCGTGGCGCGGGTCCCGGCGCCCCCCCTCGTCCGCGCACGTGCCCCTGGCCATGGTGCGCACCCTCCCCCTCGCCCTCGCCCTCGCCCTCGCCCTCCTGCCTCCTCCTCTTCCTCCTCCTCCTCCTCCTCCTCCTCCTCCTCCTCCTCCTCCTCCTCCTCCTCCTCTCATCACCGCCGTCGTCGCAGACTCGGGCGCCGCAGCAGGACTCGTGACAGCCGTGCTTCTCCCTGTGCGTCCAGCGTCAAGCCGGGCCCGCCCCTCCACAGGAGGAATATCCAACGCAGTCCCAAAAAATAGTCTGGGGACTGTTTTTTGAATCTGTTGGGACCCTTTGGGAGCATTTTGGGAGTATTTTCTATTTGTTGTCGAGAATCCCCCTGTACAGTCGGGGCCCTGAAGAAGGAACCCTTGTCCGTTGGGGAGGGGCTCCGCGTTCCTCAAGTGTTTCACAGCTTGCTTCAGGTTTTCCTCAGGTCTTCGATCGGAAATCGAGGTTTCACTTTTGGGAAAAAAAGGGGCCTCGTTCCTTATTTAGGGTTCCTTAGGTCAACGTCCTTGGAGTATTTTCTATGTGGGCATGTCTGGGGAGTATTTGTTGAGCATGTTTGGGGTATGTTTTATTTCTCGTCGAGAATCCCCCTGCAGGGGGACACGCCCGACTTAGGTCCAGCGTCGATGGAGGCAGGCCCCCGGCCCGGCGACGCCACGCGCCGCCGTGGCATCTTGTGCTGCGAGGCCGGAAATGTGCGTGCTCGGCGCCCGGAGGCCGCTCCCCGGCCCTATGTGGGGCCGCCAGCGAGCGCCTCGGGCCGGAGCGCCAGCCCTGGGGAGAGTTTTCGGGGAGGAGGACGGGACGACCTTGCGGCAGAACGTCAGCTTCAGGCAGCAGCTAGCGCCTGGATGCCTCCTCCTTGGCCTGAATACGGGCTGCGAGCGTTCGCAAGCGGTCGGAATCGACCAAGCGAGACGACCCCGCAGCGAGAGGGCCAGGAGGGGCAAGAAGCACCGACTTCGACGGCGCTCTAGCAGGCGCCAGCGAGTCATCACCCTCAGGATTCTTTCTGTAGTGAGGGTGGAGGCCAGCCTGCAGTCGTGTGAGCACCTGTTCACCAGCAGCGCTCAGCTTCTTGACACAGGTCTGACCTAGCAAGTGGTATCGCCTGCTGGTGTAAGCACCGCAGGCAAAACAGAAAAACAGCGGCCTCTGGGTCTTGTGCAGGATGGCAAAACCCAGCTTATCTTGCCGCTCGGTCTCAGCACCCTGGAGGCGACTCAGTGCTGTGGACAAACCCGCACAACCATTCATCGGGCGGGACTCGCCCTCGAACGAAATCCTGAAACATTTCTTGCATCTGAAAGCGGGTCTATCGCCACTGAGCTCATCCCAATCATGCCAGTCAGGCGGGGGAGGAACTCTAGGCAACCTCTTCTCTTTCGGGGGTCTCTCAAAGTGCAGCTTAGGAAAAAGAGAGAGCACCTTCCCGAACATTAGCGCACACGCTCGAAGGGCCTGCACCTGCCTATCTAGCATCTCCAGATCAGCAGATGTAGGCTGAGGATGAAGCGAGAGGGCATACTTCGCCAGGCGGTCAGCATCCTGGTTGGCTAAAGCTATTCGCTTCTGGTCTGGGGGAAGGGCCTGTCTAATAGCATCCGACCGATGGGCGGGCGTATGCTGGGCTTCCCCCCGGGCGCCAAATCCAGGCGATTGCTGCGCAGCACGTCGAAAACCAGCAAACATTTCCCGCGGGCACAGCTGCGCCTCGTCCGAGAGGTTATGCAAACGCACGGCCCCTTTACAATCACTGAAAGGGGAAGTCATGCCCGAACTAAACGCACACGCAGTGGCCAGGCCCAAATTTTCGGCAGCCTGGGGCGTCTGGTGCAACACTGGCCACACGGTGGCCATGAAGCGGGCCCGAGCCCGGTAAACGTCCCCTGGTTCCAAATAGACTCCCGCGAAAGCAGCGCGGTTGAGCTCAAGAATAGGGTGCCGGGTAGCCGAGCCGTCGACCACTAGGTCGCAGCTCTCGCTCCGTTCAAGAAACTCTTCGAGAGACAATGGCTGCCCATTCGCATCCTGGAGGAGGGGGTCCGAGGCCACCGAGGGGGGAAAGGAGTCCTCATCGGGCTGAGCCATTATCAATCGAGACCAAAACAATCGCTCAGAGGGCTGGGGCTGGCAATTACGGGCAGCCTCAATCAGATGAGGTTCAACAGCTTCACTGCGGGCCGTTGAGACCTCTGGGTCATCGCATAACCACTGGCGGTGGAAAATCGAATCAGGCTGGCCGCACTTGGGACAACGTCCATCTGAAATATAACCTGACTCTTGCAAACGGTCTGCCGTCCAGCAGCCATTTGAAAAAAATGAACAGATCCAATACTTTGCTCGCGGCGGGGTTCGCTTCGAACGAAGGAGGGGGCGGAGAGGGTCCACGCACGCACACGCACGCGCGCGCCATCGAACGAGGGGAGACTCGCCGCCAATCGCCTCTCATGGGATCTCTGAACTCCTGACTGCAAAAGACTGGCAATCATGGCTGGGCTGTGATACAGCAAATCCGCAACATTGCCCCTATCATCTTGCCACCTACTAAAGCTAAGCGCCTTCCAGCCTATGCGATCTAAACTCAGAAGCATTCGATGACCGGGTCCCCGAGAGTTCCTCCACTCAGATGGTCCCAACCGTAACTCCTGAGCTTCGAGGTTCCCCCAGAGCCTGATGTGATCCCTGAAAGAGAAGGGGCTGGTGGACGGCGTCGTCAGACTTCTCCACAAACTGGTCGACCATTGCCTGGCGGGCGCCGTCACCTGCAGCCATGCAGGATCTCCGTGAATGCAAACTTTTGCCGCGAGCGACGCACCTCTATGCGCTGGCGAAAGACCTGAGAGCAACGCGCTCCTGAAATCATTTAGTTCCTGATCGGACATTCCCAGGGCCATGGACCCATGACCCGCGGCAGGCCTGACCCCGCATGTGTAAATCTTGTTCATGCGAGATCGGTCCCTGGGCAGTTGCTTTCGAAGATAACGGATAAAACCATGACGGGTCCTCATATCTTTGAGCCGAGCCTTCCTTTTTGTGCGCCCTCCTGCACATGCCCGATGCTGTCCTGGTGCTAAGTCGCAGCCCAGCGAGATGGCCGAGTTGCAGGCAAGCGACGGGCAGTAGCGGGCAAGCTTCTTGGCCAAACGAGCAGCCACTCGCTGAGAAGATGCAAACGTCGATGCCTTGTCAGCAGCTAGTTGCACCCCCAGTCGGCGTTGGAAGATATACTGCGTATCATCTGCGGCTCTAACAAGGTCCTGGATGGTTTTTTCTTCTTCACCAAACGCGAGGATCGTGTCATCATCAATGTGCGAGCCCAGGGAGACTTGTGGGTTCCGAATCGCAAACTGATCAAACTCGAACAACGTGTAAACCTGAACGAAAACGTCATTGTATATATCACCAGCTGGTAATCCTGATTCCGCGAAGAGGGGGGGAGGGCTGTGATGGGCTCCCAACCTCAAAATCCTCGGGCTCCTCCAGGTATTATACAGGGTCTTGGCGAGTACCCGCGGGGTCCCCCAGTACTCAGCACGCACACGGAGCCAGGATAGCCTAAACGATTCACAGTATTTCGTTCCATCCCATGTAAAGCCTGCAGTGACCTTGCCCTGGGACTGGGCTTCTTCTGCCAACATGCTCAGCTGCCACGCTGCTGCTTCAGACGACTGCCCCTCCCCGAAGGACCAGTAGGCCCTATGGGCCCGAACCAGGAACCCATCAACTTCAGGACGTCTCAGCCTTTCCCAGATACGAACTGGTGCAGCAAGGCGCAATATGGGCCGAAGACCGCCTCTCGGCTATTCGAGAAGCGGCAGCCGCATCCACAGCAGCTGCATCGGGAA